ATTCTTACAATATGATGACCATTTTGAATATAAACATCATGGATTTTGCATTAGACATACAAATTTTAGATCTAATGTAAGAATTAGTTTACACAGAGCAAATATGCTATCTTTTGTGCAAAATATATGGCGTGTATATTCAAAATATTCCTGGTCTTGCAAGGAATCCAGCATTGTCAATTATATTATCCTAACCTTAGTCTGAGGTATTATTTATTACTATACCTTAAAATCTAGTGTTTTCACCCAAACATTTCTCAGAGAGGGAGGAGCCAGCGAGCATGGGGAGAGGGGGTGGGGAGTTGAGTCCATTCTATATATATATATATATATATATATATATATATATATATATATATATATATATATATATATATATATATATATATATATATATATATATATATATATATATATATATATATATATATATATATATATATATATATACAGTATCTCGCTAACGTAACGCCTGTTAACGAACGGTTAATCTAACTGCCTCCATATGATCTTCAATTCGGTTAATCTAACAAAATTCGTTAACGAATTCTACGAACCCAATTCACAGCTACACTGGCCGGCAACCAGCTTATATCAGTCCCGCCAATACATTAATCGGTTCTAGGGCTTAAATCTTAACTATTTTAGTAAATATCAAGAAGTTTATACTATTCAATAATTTTAAAAGTTTAATATTAAATTTTAGGTCATTTTAACAATTATTGGAACACAATTGGCTGTAAAGGACGAAGTTTAAAGCGCAGTATCCAGCTCTCTAACACAGCAAAACAGGCGCTAGTCTCTTGTTTCACTGGAGGCAACATCTTGCTTGAGACTCTCTTCAACTAAACGCTTTTTTTTCAGGTTTCCAAGCAAATTATTGGTCATTTTGAAATATATTTTTACATATTGGACAATATAATGCAGTACAGTGTTGATGAAGAAAATAATCTTGAAATACACCAAGAGAACTAAAATTTTATGGGTGAAATGGTGCCATGGGGTGACTTCTCTTCCACCCCAATGCCTTCTTTCTTCCTATTACATACAGTTGTACCCCCACTTAACGGGTCAATTGAACCCAGAGGGTCCCGCGTTATGAAATCCGCAGTAAGTGAACAACAGAACATATGGGATTAATTCCAATAGAAACCGCCCGACCCCAAACTCCACTTTTTGAAGGCACATACCTATGTTGTAGTAAAAATAACATCTTAATTTTATGATGGTACATGCACACAGTTAATACTTAAGAGAAATAGAGAAATACAGCTAGTTAACATTCAAATAATGGACTCAACTCCCTCCCTCTTCTCCACACTACACTCACTGGCTCTTCCCTCTCAGAGAAATTTTGGGGAAAACCACTAAATTTTAATAAATAATACCTCAAACTAAAGATAATACAATTGAATTACTGGATTCTTGTAAGACCAGGAATATTTTGAATATAAATGTCATATATTTTGCACAAAAGATAACATACTGTAGTTACCTAGAGAAAACATTTTATCTAAAAATTGTATGTTTAATGCAAAATATATGATGTTTATATTCAAATGATCACCAAATTATAAGAATTCCAGCAATGTAAATTATATTCTGACCGTAATTTGTATGAATTTTATGATCAAAACAAATATCTTCAGTTAATAAAAAAAATAATCTTCACGACACTATCTATCAATCAAAGTACCCCACCTTGCCTCCTCCCCTCTTCCAACCGCGCGGTCAGTCCCAACCCTCCCCCCACCCCCCACCAATCCTCCCTTCCAGAGTTTTTAACATTTAGTATTAAATAATACCTCAGATTAAAGTTAGGATAATATAATTGACATTGCTGGATTCCTTGTAAGACCAGGAATATTTTGAATATAAATGTCATATATTTTGCACAAAAGATAACATAGTTACCTAGAGAAAAATTTTTATCTAAAAATTGTATGCTTAATGCAAAATATATGATGTTTATATTCAAAATGATCACCCAATTATAAGAATTCCAGCAATGTAAATTATATTCTGACCGGGTAATTTGTATGAATTTTATGAGCTAAAACAAATATCTTCAGTTAATAAAAAAAATAATAATTCTTCACGGGGTAACAGATGGTCGGTCGGTCCCTCCCTCCCCCCCACCCCCCACCAACCGTCCCAAGGAGATGTGTGGGATAACCACTAAATTTTCATAAATAATACCTCAAACTAAAGTTAGGATAATATAATTAACATTGCTGGATTCCTTGTAAGACCAGGAATATTTTGAATATAAATGTCATATATTTTGCACACAAGAGAACATAGTTACCTAGAGAAAAAATTTTATCTAAAAATTGTATGTTTAATGCAAAATATATGATGTTTATATTCAAAATGATCACCAAATTATAAGAATTCCAGCAATGTAAATTATATTCTGGCGGGGTAATTTGTATGAATTTTATGAGCTAAAACAGGCAGTCAGGCAGGGTGGCGGGTGGGGCAAATCTAAAAATAGCGTCTCGAGCCGGACACTCACCGCGTATATGTGGAAAAAATCCGTGTTAAGTGAAAGTTCAGCTCTGGCGAGGCACCGCGTATATGATAAAACGCGTTAAGTGAAACCGCGTTAGGCGGGGTAATACTGTGTGTGTATATATATATATATATATATATATATATATATATATATATATATATATATATATATATATATATATATATATAGCATATAGCAGCAGCATATATATATATATATATATATATATATAGTATAGCAGTATATATATATATATATATATATATATATATATATATATATATATATATATATATATATATATATATATATATATATATATATATATATATATATATATATATATATATATATATATATATATATATATATATATATATATATATATATCGACTTCATAATAGAAGATGCACTGTGGTCACCATGCTGACCAGACCGTCTAAGAAATTGTCCCAAACACAATATCTGAGAGATATAAACAAAATAAAAGTCACTCGATTTCCTCACCGTGCTAAGATGTATAAATACCGTATATAAAATCCTCGTGACACTAAGTATTTCGGTTATTACAACAGAAATTAGCAGAGCCTTCTTTGTGCATATTTACAGCTGATTCGCTAGGCAAGAAGATTAAGGTAGCAATGCGTGTGAGGGAGGGGGTTTTGAGAATAGCAATTAAATGCCAGGTAGCGACGTGTCCTCCTAATATTACGTATTAAGTAATTATTTGATATTTTAATTGCCTGTATGTTGGCCTGGCTAGTTATTGCTGAGCATTAACATACCTAGGTATAAGCTAGGCGTCACATTCTGGATTGAACAAAAATAAGTCATTAGGTAAAAGTAGCTAGTGGTAGGCAGCTATCAAACAGGGAGGTACTACTGCCTGGGAAGATATTGGAAGTATAATTTGTTATCTAATATGCCTAGGTGGGCTAATCTCTGTAATAAAAAAAAAATGTAAACTTAAAGTTTAACTTTGAGACTTTGTATTGGCAGTTGTTCCTAAGTTGGTCGTACGTATCCTGAGGACGTCATGTATGTCAAATAAAAACTGTCTCATTCATGTACAGGAACAGCTCCTGTTGCCAGTGTAGCACATTATGAAAAAAAAGTGATTATACAGTCGACCCTCGTTAATTCGGACCCCTTTAATCCGGATTTCGGATAAATCGGACGAAATCTGAACTGTCAGTATCAAATTTCTGGTTCTGGGATTGTCCCAGTTGCAATTGGGGTTGCAATTTCAAATTCTGTGTCACTTCTAAGGAATAACAAAGTCTCTGGTGCTCTCTAAGATTAAGAGAAAACGGACGACTCAGGCGTCCTGAAGTGAGAGAAAACGGACTCCTATGACGGGGCACTCAAATAAAGAGACATGGCTACATGTTTTGTGGACTACCCATTGTACAGTATTGATCGTATAATTTTCATCACTTTGTAATAAACCTAGTCATATTTCTGATAATTACCATAACATTATGTATTTATATATTTAGCGGTTGTACAAACACATGCCACTCAGACTGACAGATTTGACAAGTTTTACCAACCATAAAGAAATTTGAAGCTTTAAACATCACTCACAATGGATCTTGATTATTTCAACTGTAATCAGACATACTTAAGTTGCCTCAACAATTGCAACCCCAGTTGCAATATCAAATTCTGTCACTACTAAGGAATAACAAAGTCACTGGTGCACTCTAAGATTAAGAGAAAATGGACGACTCAGGCGTCCTGAAGTGAGAGAAAACGGACTCCTATGACGGGGCACTCAAATAAACATACACATAGCTGTATAATGCAATATTATGCAATATTAACCCCTAAATCGGTTAATTCGGACAATCGGCTAAAACGGACACCCTTCCCCCCTTATTAGTCCGTTTTAACGAGGGTCGACTGTACAATGATTTATTTTGCCCATTTTTCAAGCATTTTGGGCTATAATACAGACTGACAGAAATCAACACACACCTATTCTATTTTCATTCATTACTGTCCTTTGATAAAGGTTTATTATTATGATACTTCCCAACCACAACAAAACCCCATATACCTGTACTCATATACTGTATTCACCTCAAATGCCATGTTTTTTTTTTCATTTATAGTCTTTACTGCTTCTTGGATGTCCATTTTTCACTACTTTCTTTTATATCTTTTTTTTTCAATCTTATTAAGCCATCCATCTCTGAATAAACAGTACATTATTTTTACCAATCTCTCACTTTTTGTACACTCAGTGTATCGATACCACCTGGTCCACTCTTTGAAGTATAAAATGAGCGATGTTAAGTTTTGTTTTGTCAGAGTCCCGTTTAACCCCTCAGCCTCATTCTGGTAGATTAATACTTGCATATGCCCTTGACCTAATTTGTGGAATTTTTTTAGGGATCATATTCTAGATTTTTATCATATGCCATTTTTTACAAACTGTCAGTTACATTTTTAATGGTGTATTGGTATGTATTTTCAGGTTCATGCTGACATCATTGTTCCAAGAGGTGGAGAAAATGAAGTTGCTATTAACCTTATTGCTCAGAACGTTATGACACAGCTTCAACAGGTAAGGAAGTATGATAAAGTGTGCTTACCTAGTTGTACAATTAATACGGTGTTGCGACTGAGTGGATACAGCACTTACCTCCTATTCTTGGGATTGCTGGTTCACATGTAATTTAGAATTGATTGAGAGGTTGCTTTTACAGCAAGCTTGTACAACATAGGGCTTAACAGAGGTTTCTGTCTGGCCTGCTAGCCTATAGGCTTGCGGACACTTCTGTTTTATTGTTTTATTCTGTGACAAAACACCCAATTTTTGTCAGGACCTGTCATATGTAACCAGGACCTGTCATATGTAACCAGGATCTGCTATAGGTAACCAGGACCTGTCATATGTAATAGTCTACCTGTCAAAGCCAGAAAAAGTGTTTGGATTCCCCCTCCGTTAGAACAATACACACAACTTTTTTTTTTAAATGGTTGTAATATAATGTAAGAATTAAGAAAATTATGGATTTGGGTAATTTTTTCACCGGCAGGACTATTTTCTGTGACCATTTGTGTGACTGTCCATAGCGACATTAGTGACTCGCTAATAGAAGCATTTCATCTGCATATGATAGATAAAACATCCATTTTTTATAACAGATGAAGACAACTAAAAGAGAAAACATTTGTGATTTTCACAGAATTATACTTGTAAAAAGGAAACCATAGATATTGCCATTTTTTATACGCTATTCTGTAAATTTACACATTAGAAACTACTGTATTTTTTTTTGACTGCACTTATCATTAGGGATATTTTAAACTTTTTTAAAACAGGTTGTTCATTCAGAGGGGTATATTCCAATGCTAGTGGAGACACATGATTAATAAATATGATAGTATATGAAATTTCATTTTTGGTGATTGTCTAGTTGAATGACGTTACCAGACCTGAAGACTATGCCTCTTATCCAAGATCAATACTGTAATGGTGTTTTCTTTCCAATTACAGACAGGTGTGGAGAATGCAACAATTTAAGATCTATTTAAGGTTTAATTTAGTTATTAGTTATCTGACAGTTAATATCAGAAAAGATGCTGAAAAAGATCCTGCACATCCTCAAAGATGATCAACTTGGAGTTAACATAGTCACAGTCGTTTTTAACTGATATGATAAGCCAAACTCATCAAGTAAGTGGCTCACTATTGTCCCAAATTACTGTCTTTTCTTGAAAGAACCTGCCAACAAAGCTGCCCTTGCTGCCTTTATCAGTGATTCTGTCATCACCAAGGCCATGTCTCAGGTTAGATTGGGTAAATCCAACATTCTTGCAGGGAGCTTTGCCAATGCAGAGACAATGAAGTGTGTGAGGAGGTCTGGTGAGGCCCTGCTTTAACATCTTTTCTCTACACATGAAGAATCAGACACTTGTATTGTGCTGCAAGCCATTGACTTTGCAAAACCCCATCACAGGACTGGGGTGCATTACTACAGCAAGGGGCTTCTCTTTCCTTAAGTATATTATGCATGTGGGGCACTTGGGGAAAATCCATTGCAAGAAAGCAGAACTACATACCTGTTAATACTCTTGTGAAATAGCTTGGCAAATGAGTGTCATTGTGCCTCTCTGCTGTACTTGCCCTCATTGGTTGTAACAATACCACTGCATTCTTCAAGATTGGGAAATGTACTGCATTCAAAACTCTGACAAAGCACATAGACATGGTGTCAGAGCTCTCCATCTTTGGTTTATCACTGTCACTGTCACCAACCACTCCGTATAGTGTTGGAAAATTTTTTGTGCTCCTGCTGTATGGACCAAAAGGAAACCAGTGCAACATGCTAGAAGTACTGAGATTACAGTATAATCACTGTATCATAATAATTTCTTCATTTTTTTTTCACACTGTATGAAAGACTGTGTGTGTCCATGTAACAGTAAAAAAAAAAAAGGAAGAAAATTACTGTACATTCATCTCCCCCGACTCTGTGATGAGTTCACACATATAAGAAATGTTTTTGTCAAGTCTCCATACATAGGCAAAATGATCACTTTATTATACAATCACTTGTAAGTCACAAAATATGCTCTATGTGGGCACCATTACATTTCAGCAAGATGGGGCGTCCCCCCCATTTGCTGGAATTCTTACAATTTGGTGATCATTTTGAATATAAACATCATAGATTTTGCATTAGACATACAAAATTTAGATATAATGTTTACTCTGAGTATATATGTTATCTTTTGTGCAAAATATATGACATTTATATTCAAAATATTCCTGGTCTTACAAGGAATCCAGCAATGTCAATTGTATTATCCTAACTTTAGTTTGAGGTATTATTTATTAAAATTTAGTGGTTTTCCCCCAAAAATTTCTCAGAGGGAAGAGCCAGTGAGTGTAGTGTGAGAAGAGCGGGAGGGAGTTGAGGCCATTATTTGAATGGACATTAACTTGGCGACTGTATTTCTCTATTTCTCTTAAGTATTAATTGTGTGCATGTACCATCATAAAATTAAGATGTTATTTTTACTAGAACATAGGTATTGTGTCCGAAAAAGTGGAGCTTGGGGGTCGGGCCAGTTTCTATTGGAGTTAATCCCATATGTTCTGTTGTTCACTTAGCGGTACCCTGTGGGTTTTATTGACCGCGTTAAGCGGGGTACTACTCTATATATATATATATATATATATATATATATATATATATATATATATATATATATATATATATATATATATATATATATATATATATATATATATATATATATATATATATATATATATATTGGCATGTCAGTTTTATGCCATTACTTATATTACAGGTATGTACATATATCACAACATTAGTAAAGTTTAAGCTGAAACTGCTCTTAAATATTTTTTCCTTTTTTAATAAATATTTATTTAGGAACTAAGTTTTACAGGGTTAGTATGAAATAATAACATAGTACAGGTTGTACCTCTCTAGTCCGGCATTCTGTGGTCCGGAAACTCCTGTGGTCCGGAACGATTTTAGTTTGTCCAATAGGTAGATAGGCAGCTTCTTTTTTTTCTTTTTTCTTTTTTTCTGAATTATTATTATAATTATTATTATTACAGGAGTATTAAAGTTTTGCCCCTCAGGCCCCAATGTGGGTCAGTGACCTATGCCCAGGTGGGCTAATCCCCATAAAAAAAAAACCAACAAAGCCGCGGGAAATTAAGGTTTGTTTACATCCGGCAGCTCTCTCTCTCTCTCTCTCTCTCTCTCTCTCTCTCTCTCTCTCTCTCTCCTTGTCTATACATTTAACCCTTCAATATATATGAGCAGTAAATAAATGTTGCTTTCATATTCTTATGTAGAGTAATGACGATATATTTTCACATGTGCGCACTTACATACGAGCAGTCTCACTTTTTTTTTACCATTAATGGTTAGCTACTTATATTGTTCCATTTATTAACATTAAATAACATTACAGGTACTTCAAGCAACCATATTCATTTTTTACATTAATTTTATTACAGCTAAACTCAGGGTCTTATTTTCTTCAGTTTTATATGTAGAACTAATCAGTCACTGGTTTCGTAAGCTTTAACATAAACAATGCCGGCAGCCGTCTCGTCTCCTCTAATATTCCACGTATTATTAATAAATTGTATTGTTAATTTTGCACACACGTACATTAATTCAATAAAAGCAAATTCAGAAACATTAATTAAAATATATATGAACAGTAAATAAGTGTTGCTTTCATATTCTTATGTAAAGTAATGATGATATGTTTTCACGTGTGCGCCTGCGCACTTACATATGCGATCTCTCTTTTTTCTTTACCATTATCGTTAGCTACTTCTATTGTTCCATTTATTAACATTAAATAACATTACTTAAAACAACCATATTAATTTTACTACAGCTACAACCAAGGTCTTATTTTCTTCAGTTTTATATGTAGAACCAGTCAGTCACTGGTTTTGTAATCAACGAATACAATGCTGTGTCATTTCCTCGTGTGTTTTAATATTCTACGTATTATTAATTAATTGTATTGCTCATTTTGCATACATAAACATTAATTCAATAAAAAAGACATTCAGTAATAAACAATAATGAATCTTTTGTACATAAGAGAAATGACGCTGTTTACACGATTATGCACGTCGTCTGCACGTTGGCGGGCCGTTCAAACCCGTCGAAATTCAAGTTTCCGCCGTCAAAATTATTATTTATTTATTTTTTTGTGTGTTCCAATAAAATACGTTAAGAATTAAAAACTCGCGAAATTTGAGAAGCTACTATACGACATTTAACCCTTCAATATGTCTTCAAAGAGACCATGATGCAGAGAAAGTGGTGCTAGTGCTTCCAGGCATAAGCACAAGTAACTATCTATCCAGGAAAAGGGTGAATTTCCATGGTCCGGCAATTTCCATGGTCCGGCACCGGTCAGGTCCCGAGGTTGCCGGACTAGAGAGGTACAACCTGTATACTGTATATATACATATATATATATACAGTCGACCCTCATTAAAACGGACTAATAGAGGGGGAAGGGTGTCCGTTTTAGCCGATTGTCCGAATTAACCGATTTAGGGGTTAATATTGCATTATACAGGTATGTGTATGTTTATTTGAGTGCCCCGTCATAGGAGTCCGTTTTCTCTCACTTCAGCACTCCTGACTCGTCCGTTTTCTCTTAATCTTAGAGTGCACCAGAGACTGTTATACCTTAGTAGTGACACAGAATTTGATATTGCAACTGGGGTTGCAATTGTTAAGGCAACTTAGGTATGTCTGATTACAGATGGAATATTCAATATCCATTGTGAGTGATGTTTAAAGCTTCAACTGTCTTTATGGTTGGTAAAACTTGTCAAGTCTGTCAGTCTGAATGGCATGCGTGAGGCCTTGTGTTTGTACAACCGCTAAATATATAAATATATAATGTTATGATAATTATCAGAAACACATAGGCATAACGAGGTTTATTACAAAGTGATGAAAAGGATACTGTACAGTGGCTAGTCCACAAAACATGTAGCCGTGTCTCTTTATTTGAGTGCCCCGTCATAGGAGTCCG